CTCCACATGTCTACCATTAAACGTTTAGAAATCTTTACTGAGGCCTTGAATGTTGTAACCCTGATCAAATAACTTTGGATCAAGGGGCGCATAAGTATATTTCATTTCTAGTTCAGGTGAGTAAATCAGTGGAAGGAAATTTGCTGCTTGACCATCGTATTAACGATTTACCTGAAGCTTAAGTCAAACCTCATGGCCAAATTCCCTTATTTGGTTTTGCCAATCCGAGCAGAAATTCAGATTCATGTGCCTAAAGAAACTGAACAGGAAGAAGAGAAATGGTGGCCACGGAGATGCCTACTTCGTGCCAAAATGTCTTATCCCCAAATATTCCATATATGTTATCAATGAGGCTGTACAGCATTGCACATTTTGTTTTCTATAAATAAGATGACATTTATTTTTATTATTGACAAACCGTCCTGAGACTGAAGATAGAGATGTAACTACTGTTAAGCCAGGAAAAGTTAAGTTGTGACCTGACAATTAACCCCGTGTGACTATGAATGAAGTCCGACTACTGGCAATACCATTGTGAAGAAAGGGGAAGCGGGTGGTCCGCGACAAGGCGTACGATGGATATGTGCACGTGCGTGTGATGGCTCGGCCAACGACTTCTAGTGGCGAGTTCAAAATCACATAATAGTACGTGCCGATGTGATGTGTCTACGGAAGCGTAGTCAATGTAGTCATGACCTGCACGTCCACAACATGCGTAAACCCTCCCTACCTGTTACAAACCAAATATGTTTGCGCAAATTCTGTGCACCGACTACTTGTCTCAAACGCGTTTTGTGAGTTGGTTCAACTTATCCTGGATTACCAGTATGTCTATGGTTGAGTTGGTTCAACTTATCCTGGATTACCAGTATGTCTATGGTTGAGTTGGATCAACTTATCCTGGATTACCAGTAATGTCTATGGTTGAGTTGGTTCAACTTATCCTGGATTACCAGTATGTCTATGGTTGAGTTGGTTCAACTTATCCTGGATTACCAGTATGTCTATGGTTGAGTTGGTTCAACTTATCCTGGATTACCAGTATGTCTATGGTTGAGTTGGATCAACTTATCCTGGATTACCAGTAATGTCTATGGTTGAGTTGGTTCAACTTATCCTGGATTACCAGTATGTCTATGGTTGAGTTGGTTCAACTTATCCTGGATTACCAGTAATGTCTATGGTTGAGTTGGTTCAACTTATCCTGGATTACCAGTATGTCTATGGTTGAGTTGGTTCAACTTATCCTGGATTACCAGTAATGTCTATGGTTGAGTTGGTTCAACTTATCCTGGATTACCAGTAATGTCTATGGTTGAGTTGGTTCAACTTATCCTGGATTACCAGTTATGTCTATGGTTGAGTTGGTTCAACTTATCCTGGATTACCAGTAATGTCTATGGTTGAGTTGGTTCAACTTATCCTGGATTACCAGTATGTATATGGTTGAGTTGGTTCAACTTATCCTGGATTACCAGTATGTCTATGGTTGAGTTGGTTCAACTTATCCTGGATTACCAGTATGTCTATGGTTGAGTTGGTTCAACTTATCCTGGATTACCAGTATGTCTATGGTTGAGTTGGTTCAACTTATCCTGGATTACCAGTATGTCTATGGTTGAGTTGGTTCAACTTATCCTGGATTACCAGTATGTCTATGGTTGAGTTGGTTCAACTTATCCTGGATTACCAGTAATGTCTATGGTTGAGTTGGTTCAACTTATCCTGGATTACCAGTAATGTCTATGGTTGAGTTGGTTCAACTTATCCTGGATTACCAGTATGTCTATGGTTGAGTTGGTTCAACTTATCCTGGATTACCAGTATGTCTATGGTTGAGTTGGTTCAACTTATCCTGGATTACCAGTATGTCTATGGTTGAGTTGGTTCAACTTATCCTGGATTACCAGTATGTCTATGGTTGAGTTGGTTCAACTTATCCTGGATTACCAGTATGTCTATGGTTGAGTTGGTTCAACTTATCCTGGATTACCAGTATGTCTATGGTTGAGTTGGTTCAACTTATCCTGGATTACCAGTATGTCTATGGTTGAGCTGGTTCAACTTATCCTGGATTACCAGTATGTCTATGGTTGAGTTGGTTCAACTTATCCTGGATTACCAGTATGTCTATGGTTGAGTTGGTTCAACTTATCCTGGATTACCAGTATGTCTATGGTTGAGTTGGTTCAACTTATCCTGGATTACCAGTATGTCAATGGTTGAGTTGGTTCAACTTATCCTGGATTACCAGTAATGTCTATGGTCACCTTGTTTAGCAACAAATGTCACATGGCTAATTGGTGCAACCTTTTACACATTGTCCCTGCTAGAATACATGTTGTGTAAACATTGGCAATGTGTAATTAGAAATATTCAAACACAAACATACATTGCTAGCTTGCCTTTGCATGTATTTGTGATGGGTCCCGCCGGTGGTGCAGGATACGCTCACCCTTTTTCGGAACACCTTGTAATATCACTATTTGATAGTGATTCATAAACACATGCTCATAATAAAGTCGATATCGTATTATCGATTCTGCTTTATGCAGAGATTACTATTGGATATGGAAAGGTGTTTGTCGCTTTTTTACAAAACGTGATTAGCACTATTCTCGCAAAAGCAGTGTGTAAAAGGTTACAACAATGTTAGCGGTCGGTCGGGTAGCCTAGTGGTTAAAGCGTTCGCTCGTCACGCCGAAGACCCGGGTTCGATTCCCGACATGGGCACAATGTGTGAAGCCCATTTCTGGTGTCCCCCGCCGTGATATTGCTGGAATATTGCTAAAAGCGGCGTAAAACCATACTCACTCACTCACTACAACAATGTTAAACTAAAGTAGCTTTTTGACCGGAGGTACGATATATTCTAATAGGGGCAATGTGTTTAAGGTTGCATCAATGACGGATCAAAGTAGCTGTTTAGACGTGAAGTACAATTTAGTCTAACAGAGTGAGTGAGTGAGTTTGGTTTTACGCCGCTTTTAGCAATATTCCAGCAATATCACGGCGGGGGACACCAGAAATGGGCTTCACACATTGTACCCATGTCGGGAATCGAACCCGGGTCTTCAGCGTGAAGAGCGGACGCTTTAACCACTAGGCTACCCGACCGCCCCTTTTCTAACAGAGGCAGTTCATACCTATGATAAGAATTTACATGGTCTGTATGAAACAGAGGTAACTGAACATTTAAAACAATTTACGTTTAAGCCAAAGAATAATCAGTCTCCATTGCCTGCCGAAACATATCCCATATGACGTATTGTAAACAGCAAAGTTTGATGCAAATTATGGGAATGGATCACTGAAAATCAGTAACGACACCAGGTGTTCCCGAAAAGGGTACGCACATCCCGCCCTACAGATAGCACCGGCTACTCACACAATCTTCATTCAAAACGTGAGAGCCAGTGAGTAACGAGATGGGAAAACTCCGTCTTAAAGTCACAGCATGGATCACATCACGTTGACAAGCTGCCTTTCATGTTTAGTAAACTCTTCTGAATATCTACCATAAAATACAAAAACAGGTAGTTCTTTAGTTTATAAAGATAGGCACAATTATTCACAACATACGTATATGAGAGGCCATAGGCCTATAGTACATGTTATATAGTAGTGGGTGTATATACATTTATAAGGTAACACATTTGGAGCTTCTTAGCTTCAAAGCATGCAAGATGCACATTGTCAGCTTTTTCGTTATTACTACATTCTTACTTGACATTAATGTAACAAACTTCTGTGGACTTGGATAACGGATATAATATATATCAATGAACTGTTTTCTGAGTTCAGCATATAACGGACAAATTGTAAGAAATGGTATTCATTTTTTACAGTGTTTAAATAACAAAACTGACAAATTCTGTGTTCTCTCGCGATCCCCATATATCTTCCCGTCTCGATAAAGAGTTCGTGTGAACCACATCTGAATCTTGCGAGTGCAATTCGATATGTAGATTAAGTTGCAAATCTTAAAGTAAAGATACCATTCCAACGTGTCAGTTACGTAATGTCCTCCCGGTTTGACTGCTTATCGTACCTACTTGTAGGTGGGCGCTCACGTCAGTGCCACGGAGCTCATTGTCATAAATACATGTCATATAACCCTGTTATAACATCAAATATGTTAATACCAGTTGAGTTTAAAACAGCAAACGTCTTTATTCGATATAGATGGTAATGTTACGAGTATCAGCAGATTCAAATTTACTTAAGGGACCGACAATTTGATATTCATAAATTTTAAGCGTCAATGTCAGAGAATAACTAGCGTCAATTATGCGCCGAAACAGATTCCATTGGGAATAAAGGGCAAAATTGCGCTTACATTTATGTGAAAGTATCACTGAAAATCTGTAAATCTGTCACATTCTCCATGTAATGCGTGCTATAATCGATTGTTGTTTAGGCTACAGTATGTGTAATTGTGTCAAAGCTGCCCTAAACACTGCACAAGAGAGCGCTGTGTCGAATATGAAGTGGTAATTCGTATTGCTCTTTAGCGCGAAATGTCTTATTGTTATTTTCCTACAGGCAGTGAGTGAGTGAGTGATTTGGGTTTAACGGCGCTTTTAACAGTATTCCAGTTATATCACGGCGTATTAGCTTAATGTGGGAGGAAAGCCCGAAGTGATGCGGGTCTCAGACGTTTACCACTTCGCTGAAACCCACTAGCATGGGTATGGTGCTGACAAACCTAGAAACATAATCGGGGCGAAACGGGATTCGAACCAACAATCATAGGGTTTCTGGCATGCCCAATGGACGCAACTCTGCACAGCGAATCGCGGCGCCTTAGACGACTTGGCCACCCGTGCCCACTTTTACAGGCAGAACGACATGTCATCCCTTGAAATGCTGTCATCTCACAAGAGTGAAAACCTCATCTGACCATGAGAAGACTTTACAGCAGAAGCATTAAAAACATACGTCACAGTAAACAAACTTCATGGAACACATATAAAACATGTTGTCAGTCAAACTCTTACCTCGTGATCAATAAGGTTTTGGCGCTGTATCACGTACAATCATTGCCACGGTAACCGTTTAAATTGGCAGCATGAGCAAGCTGCGAATTGTCGAAAATAATCCTTTATCGAAGTTCAGGATTTCTCCCGAAAAGATGGCTTGGCTTTCCCTCTCCCCACCACTGTTCACAAAGGCCTACCTACCACAGAGGTAAGCTTGGGACACGCTACTGGCCGTCACGATGTGTCGTCAACTCCTCTGACAGATAGAGCCATAAACCGTGACATGTCACACATCATAATGAGGAGGCCTTACCTTCGTCTTAGTTACAATGTAGGTCAGAAACGACGCAGACAGATGCATATTTCTTTTACATTAAAAAGAGCGTTAATTCTGCTCGTCATGTAAGGTTCAACGGAAACAATTTATACTCTTCAAGTTCTCATGGGTCCACGATGGCGCAGGGACAGCAAAGCGAGTCTCCTATCAATCCGGGCCTTATGGTCAGCGCGACGTACTTCTCACGTAACTAGAAACATTTCGGAATAATGGGCCTAAGACACCTCACCTTATAATAAATGACCAGGGACCCGTTCCACAAAGCCATCTTAGCGCTAAGGTGATCGTAAGTCCCGTACTCTAACACTGGCTTACGATAGTCGTAACGCTAAGATCGCTTTGTAGAACGGTGCCCAGTCCCCAAAGAGTTACTGTTTAGTCTTTCTTTTTTTCAGTTGAGAGATTGTATTTTGCATGATCGACATGCGGAACAATAGACAAGACCAATATTACACCGAGTTTTTCAAAGTTCATTTGGATATTTTACATGCATTCAGCGCTAAACATGCAGCTTGTGTTCCCCCCTGGGAGGTTTGAATGAAGCTGATCCGTTGGCCGAGGACGTAATATGACATCGAGCATGTCTGTTGAAGCTTGAGCTACAGGGATGGAAGTAGGTCCGGCAAAGGAGGTTGAATGTCCCTGCTCTGTGATTTAGATGATCGTGTATCCTCCCCAGAGTGGGATGTTGATCATGCAGCAAGCCATTGTTTTCCTGGTCCAGCTGGATTATTGCGACTGCAGAGTAAAACAATAAAAATCAAGCAAGGGTTCACTATTTTCACGAAAACTGCCAGCGTCTTGACGACCTCAGTAGAGATGTTTTGTTTGTTTGTTTGTTTGTTGTTTAACACAGCACTCAGCAATATTCCAGTTACATGACGGAGGTCTGCAAATAATCGAGTGTTGACCAGACAATCCAGTGATTGACATCTTGAGCATCGATCTACGCAATTGGGATACGATGACAAGCATCCACCAAGCCAGCGAGCCTGACCACCCGACCCCGTTAGTCGCCTCTGACGACAAGCAGAGTCGCCTTTTACGGCAAGAATCTTCACGGGTCCAGTAGAGATATCCGTGGTGTAATCTGAACCTGGCACAATGAAGTGTACGTGACATGGCACGTGTATGCATCTGAATGTTACTGTGATTAGGCTGCAACGTTTCATCTTTCAAGACGCCATACACAAAGTGAAATCTGTTTAACCATGCAAGTGACACAATATGTCGCTTAAAACGACGGAACGATATGACCCACCAGAATGCTTAATTACCCTGTAGCCTTATATCGACATTTCGTTTATCTCGAACTACGGATTACTCGAAACATGTCGTGATATACTCAATTCAACAACACCTTCATTTCAAGTTAGAGGCCACAGGTCCATATAACATAACATTACAGGAATACGATTACTGATACAGTGACTTATACAATTTCATTACATTCAATATGAATTTTGATAGCTGTACAATAGTAGGTGTATGATATAGACAATCTGACACATGGTAATTTGAATTAGCCACGTTAAGAAGACATGCTCCACCATCAAAGAGTATACTATAGGCCACCAAAACATGTTAAACTTAAACCAGGGAATATATATCATAGGAAGGAACAATCTTGTACCTGCCGTCGGCAAATAATGTTCCTTTTCATCCTGTACTATCATATTACCCTAACTCAACAGTGGACTACCTCCGTGGTCTAGTGGTAGAGCGTCCGCCCGGAGAGGAAAAGGTCGGGGTTCGATCCCCGGTTGCGTCATACCAAAAGACGTGATCGAGTGGTCAGGCTCGTTGACTTGATAAATTCATGTCATAGTATCCCAATGGCGTGGATCGATGCTCGTGATGTCAATCGTTGGAATATCAGGTACAGACTCGATTATTTACATACCAGCGTCATATAATTGGAATATTGCTGAGTGCGGCAACAAACAACAAACAAATATACAACGTCCCACGCCGTCGTGGTAGGACGACGCGTAATCAACCAATACACCGAGTCAGAGCACCCGATCCAGTCAGTCGCCTCCAATACATCCCGGGACCAATACATCCCGGGATCCCCACAGGGGTAAGATCTGTATCACCCTCACACAGAGACAATGTCTGAATGTCACACATGAACTATATCAACGTCTAGGTCTGGACCAAACATGGCCGTAGAGCACACTTTCCCTGGCAAACAGTCAGGTCAGAATGTCCAGTCTGGGTCATGGAATACGTTCACCTGGAGTATGGATCAGCGTCGCTAAATGCTGTTTAAACAGCAATCAAACTGGCACATTGTCAAACGCTGGCTTGGAGCGGCTTCACATTCAGCGTTGAGATATACAAATAATGTTTCCTCTCAGTTCTCCGCAGGTTTCGCCCACATTGTATATGCCGTCATTTGAAGAGCCTAGTCCAGCACCCGGGTAGATCGGGTCCTCTTCTCCATGCATGTTGTAACCTGTTATCTGGGATTCTGTGAAGAGAATAGATATTCTTACAGCTACGGCTGCAAAACCAGGATATTTTTTAATTAAAAGTATGAGCCTAATTAAAAAATAATTAACAATTTTCAACACCCAATACCCTTCCCCCCTCCCTTAATGCATACTTGATGCCCCAGTATAATGACACTCCACAGAATGTGACTTGACAGTGATATTATATGCGTCAATTCTATTTGCTATTGCTGTCTGTTTCATTCATTGTAATATGATACAAACTACTTAAGAATAATATTAATGAGAACATATAAGTACATTTAATTTCAATATCTGATCTCTACAAGGGGGTAGAACCTTTGAAGTGTTCCTTGTTCTTTCAGAGTCCTTTCACACATTGTCATAAAATACACCGAAATAACAAGCTAGGGTAATGCTTGAGTATATTTATTACTAAATATCATCATAATTGTCAATTGTGCACACATTTGTGTCGATGCTAAACATGACTCATGATCTTGTAATTTGAGTGAGTGAGTATGGTTTAACGCCGCTTTTAGCAATATTCCAGCAATATCACGGCGGAGGACACCAGAAATGGGCTTCACACATTGTGCCCATGTCGGGAATCGAACCCGGGTCTTCGGCGTGACGAGCGAACGCTTTAACCACTAGGCTACCCGACCGCCCTCTTGTAATTTGAAGTGTGTGTTGTTGTTCGTGTAGACACAATGTACATGTATCACAAAACTAGCCCATGTTCTTGATGGGATTTCAACAATAACAACACGACTACAAATCGCACTTGTATTATATTCGTGATCACAAAAACGAACCCCTTCCTTTTATAAAGAGCTGCCCCAGTCCCAAGTGTCGAGATGTGGAACAGACTATTTAATTCTGTCGTTCATTTCGACGTGATAAAGCAACGTGACATTTGGGGTGTTTACCAAGGATTACATGTTTTCCTGTCACTTGTTTACAAACCAATCGTTAAACATGACGCTCATTAAGACGACAAGGACGATAACATTCTGCTGTGTCATAAATTGTCCCAAGGCTACTTCCCGCAAATTATCAAATGTAGCCTGTGTCGACCAACGTCAAAATGATGTAAAATATAATAAGTTGCTGCCTATCATGTGACATTGTTTAACATCCAGCAACAGACATGAAATAATAGTATATGCTTCAAATTGCATGATACTGCTTTTATATTGTTTACATACATTTGCGTTGTTTTGATGATATTTACAAAGTTAAAAGTTAACGAGAATCACCACCGACATAGTACATCTTAGTACATCGTTGATTCCCCGGCCCGGAGTATGTACAGTAAACTACGTTTATAACGAACACGCTTATAACGAACTGACGGATATAACGAACTTATTTTTTAGTCCCGGCCATTTGCTGTATATATGCTGTATATATATATGCTTATAACGAACTACGGTTATAACGAACTAAAATTAGTGGTCCCTGAGTTCGTTATAACCGTAGTTTACTGTATATATAAAAGTATGTATGTTTAAAATTTTAAGTGGATGCGCACAAATCTTTGGGGTATTATTTATAACTGAGCTGATTTTGTGAAGTTTACATACCTATTGATCAATTTGAAACCCTTTAGAATTTAGGTAATGACCATGGAATGCGTTTAAACATGTACGTCTCTTTAGTACGGAACTCATTCTCTTATCTCCAGGGATAGCTACACCTGCTGATGCGGCGTAAAACAATACTATTTCACTTAACCTCGACGTTATACATACATACATACATACATACATACACACAAATACTTTTATAATAACTAAAATGCCAGCTAACGCTGTTCGAAAGCGCTACTGCGTCTGTGAAAAATGTCAACATATCAAACATCAGAGGCAGTACAAACTCTATTACTTGTTACTTTATTAAAACTTATGTGAGGTTAATAATTAAAGGGGTTTCAGTGTTTCGCTTTGTATTTCTCTAGATGTGCTATTTTCCTAATAAAATGCTAAGTAGATACGCCAGCTTGTCATTTGTTTGAGTGATGACATCTTCCGTGGCGAAATAACATTGTTGTGTTAAATTTGGTTTTAAAAAATTCAAATCAGATCAAGCAATGTTTAAAAAAATACAATAAATTTGATATACATGTTGAGGGACATAATTATTATCCTGTCCTATAAATCACTATAATTTAATTGTTTTTATCAAGCAAGTGTCTTTCGCACATACAGAATATCAACCATTTCAAAGCTGAATGTATTTGCGTCAAGATTAAACAATGAGAGTCGAGCTGAGCAGAATAGTGAGAGAATGAAGTCATATATCAAAGAAACACTCCGGTGGCTGGTAACACTCCGGCGCAGCGATGACTCTGCATTACACCATTGTCACAAGCTAAGTTGCATATCATGTGACCAGATTTTTCTCTCGTTCGTAAACAGACGCGGATCATACACATGACACTTAATGCATGTTTCTTTAGCCAAAATGTAAATAATTCTTTTTACACATTTTGATCACCTGTGTATACGGACGCGTTTTGCTGTTTTATGTTCCATTGCAAAACTTCACGTTTGACGGGCTGTTGTGTCTGCCTTCTTACGTTGGAGATTTAACGAGTGCGTCCAGCAGATTTGACTTTTGACTCAATTCTAATTACAGGTCCCAAGGGAGTTTCTACTTGGAGTTCCAAACACGCTCTTAGTGGCGAGAACAACTATACTGGCGCCGAAACACACCAATATGACTTGCACGCGCAGCATCACTTGTTGGGCTAAAACGACGTTGGGTTTTCATTTGCATGCCATCATAATCGTATGGCAAGCGATCAGCGAAAACATGCTACGACTGACGGAAGCCCAACGCATCAACGCCATCGGCCGACTGCAGATAGGTGAATCATCTTCAGCTGTAGCCTACTGTTTCCACGTAACACCAAGCACCAATTACAAGACTGTGGAACCGTTATCAGACACACGAGACAACACGGGACCTTCGCACATCCGGTCGACCACGTATCACTGCTAGAGCACAGGATAGATTCATACGGCAACGTCACTTACGTGAAAGAACTACCACGGCCACTTCTACAACTAATATCGGCCAATACAGTGGGGAACCGTTTACGCGCATAAGGTATTCGAAATAGACGACCAGTTCGAAGTGTCAATGTGACGGACCTGCGTCGTCGGCTGCGACGTCATTGGTGTCAAGGTCACAGGGTATGGCCACAACTGCGATGGGAACCATTTGGCTTCGTGACGAGTCACGTTTCATGATTTGCTGTGTGGGTGGCCGTGTTTACAGACGTCGCGAGGAACGTTATGCCCGAACTGCATAAAGGAAGTGGACAGATTTGGTGGTGGTAGTGTGATGATGTGCGCATTCTAAACTGGAAGAACAGACTTGGTGTAAGTACTGGGTGGTTTTAACGGCACAACGTCACACGGATGAGATTCTTCCGCCACGCGACCTTCAAATTACGTTTTCCAACAGAGCAGGACTGACAACAGCCGTTTTCAGGAATCACAACATGTAGGTCTACCATGGCGCTCCAGGTCTCCAGATTTAAACACAATCGAACATTTATAAGGAGCACTGGATCGACGACTACGAGTACGTCATCAACAACTACAGAACCTCGTACAGTTGGTACAAGCAATGTAGGCATAGTGGGTGAACATTCCTCAGGACACAATTCGAGATCTGATTGTTTCCATTGGACGACGATGCCAGTCAGTTTTGGACTCTGATGGTGGCCACACAAGGTTCATACAGATATGGAACATTAAAATTCAAGGCTTTTCAACTGTCATTATCAAGGCTTGTTTAGCTGGGTAATCAGCCTGTATCTGTCAAAACATTTTTTTTTTAAATCGAGCATACTATACATTAATTCGTAAGACCTAAAAAGCAGTATGAACATCAACCAAATTTCCAAATAGATTTATTTTCACAAAAAGAGAAAGAGTGATTGAGTGTATGGTGCTAAACAATACAAACACGTTACTGGACCAGTCAAACCAGTGGCTACTGGTGTAAGGATAATTCCATTTATCTCACCTTTCACTAAAATACCAGCTTCTGAGTGGTTATGGAGCTGGCAATTGTTTTTCATGTATGATGTGCTTAAGCTCAATGCTTGACAATGCTTGAGATATATTTGTACATTCTCCCTCCATGTAATTTATGACATTAAAGGTCAATTCTCGAGCCTGATAATGCATGACTTGGCCATGCTTACCTTGCTTTGGCATGCCTGTTTGTAAATGAACTTTTAGAGAATTATGGTATCAATGTGTCACATCGACCTCTTAATAGTCTTATGAGCAACACGTGTGTGTCCATGGGAGCGTATTCAATTTCATCGCCATGACCTGCACGTGTATAACATGCGTACACCCTTTAACTGTGAAAAACCTAATATGTTTGCCCAAATTCTGTGCAATAATACCTACTTGTCTCAAGGCGTTTTGTGAGCTGGTTCAACGTATCATGGATTACAAGTATGTAGACGTATCTATTGATATTGATGGGGCAGATTAGTTTTCAGGAAGACGTATAATTGTGTCATAGGGTATAATTGTATCATAGGTCCGTTCCACAGAACGATCTTTGTGACATGACTGGGCTGGCTGACTTGATTGATACATGTCATTGTATCCCATTTGCGTAGACTGATGCTTATGATGTCGATCACTGGACCGTCTGGTCCAGACTTGATTTGTTACAGACCGCTGTCTATAGTATATATATGTACACATACATACACAGACACATACATATATATCATCCACTGATGTACATGGCCCAGAGGTGAATATTTACTAGCTGCAATGTTTGTTTGTTTAACGTGGCACTCAGCACTATTACAGCTATATGACAGCAGTCTGTAAATAATCCAGCCTGGATCAGACAATCCAGTGATTGACACCATGATCATCGATCCACGCAATTGGGATACGATGACATGCATCAACCAAGTCAGCAATCCTGACCACCCGATCCCGTTAGTCTCCTCTTACGACAAGCATATTTGCCTTTTACAGCAAGCATGGGTTGCTGAAGACCTCTTCTACCCCGGATCTTCACAGGTCACTGGCTGCAGGGGGCACGGGTGGCCGCGATTGGCTGTGCAGAGTTGCATCCCTTGGGCACGCCAGAAACCTATGATTGTGGGTTCGAATCCCGGTTCGCCCCGATTATGTTTCTAGGTTTGTCAGCACCATACCCGTGCTCGTGGGTTTCACCGAAGTGGTAAACGTCTGAGACTTGCATCACTTCGGGCTTTCCTCCCCCATTAAGCTGACACGCCGTGATATGACTGGAATACTGTTAAAAGCGGGGTTAAGCCCAACTCACTCACTCACTCACTCACTGGCTGCAATGACTCAGTGGGAGTATTGTCCAATGTGGCATAAAATAACATTCACTCTGATCAGGACACACAGAACAGCTGGAGACTAGACATTTATTCTCTCTCAACAGTGCCTAAATATGTGCAGTTTCACTGACAGAGCCACATGAAAGACATGAACCCTTGTTAACATAACAAGTATAGGTAAACATTAAATACAAAATTAAACATATATAGATATATATATATGCATGAGTAAATGAGAATCTCACCATAACAAAGAACATTATAATGAGAAATCACATCGAAAAAAGCATTCAATGCTCTGTTTAGAACAAACATCATGTGACATAAGAAAAGTTTTGGAGGATACCAATTGGGCGGGAGAGGATGCACACATATACCTTTTAGGTGTACATCTATACAAGGAACAGTATCAAACATTTTGGAACAATTTTTTCAGAAAAATAATCAATGTCATTGGATTGAAAAATGCATTTTCGTCATTTCAACTTGTTATGAATTATGCTTTTTCCCAATTGCCAAATTCATGTAGTGTTAGGGGTAAGGGTGTTATGTGGTTGATGATGCTGCTGTTCAAGCTTCCGATTCTTTCATTAAACCGGACTCCGTATGAAAATATGTGTGGCAATTCCAGCCAAGGCAATAATAAAGTTCAATATTCGCCTTTCAACTAAATACTTTTCCAAACAAACTGTTAAAGGCATTTGCAAATAGGGATGGATGGATGGGAATCACATGAAGCATTGGCAGAACCATTCATATGGTGTATTTCACCAAAGAAAGAATGAGACAGATGAAACTCTAATAATCAATCAATTATGGCCTGATGCTAGTTAATTAAACACTGCTGACATGTGAGATATAGCCTAATCTTATACCATCACATCCTTCGACCTGTGTGTCAATAATGTATTGATGTTTACCAACCTCATACTCATGTTCATCAATTTGTGAACATTTGGACTGTCATTCTAATATCATTGTACAGAAATAAGTCCTTTTTTAAACTACACCTTAAGAAACCACATAGCTTGTACCTAATGATTTAAACCTCATTAGACGGCTATGTGTTACACTTCATTGCCTGTGTAGCTTGTTATAAGAAACAGAGTTGGGTTGATCAGAGTTGTTTATTATATAATTTTAAATGTATCAGGACTGCAAAGATACCATATCCGTTCAAGAATTGAAAGTTATAAGACAAGTCGATTTTTGCCTGCAAACAAGTAGAAAATTGTGCTGAGACTGAAACTATATTCTGCACACAAATTTTATGTATAAGACAGAAAACATTTTTTCATTGAAGTGCAGTGATAGCCTGAAGTAACAAATGCATCTTAATGACATCGATTTGACGTGGTGCTTATAAAGGTACTTGCATCTGAACCAAAACATGGCACTGAAAGAATAAAGAAGTGGAAATTCGTGAGTCAATTCTGTCTACAATGCCACTAATTTATCATCTTCGCAGACTATTTTCCCATGGAACATTTTATCAATCTTTCCACACTCCTGGACACATATACTACTCTTATAAACATATACCCAGTTATACAACATGAATATTTATGTTAAGTACTGTGCAAAACCACCCTGAATTCCTTGCAAAAACTGAACATACTCATTGTGGAACATGGGTTAAACAAAATATAGAGTGAAGTTTACATGGTACCAAATGAGCCATGCTAGCTTTCAGATATGGGCCCAATTCAGCACTTACATTGGCCCAAAGTAGCTTGACCTTCTGCAAACAGTTGGATTAAGTTGGGTTTTTCCCCTCAATTCCTCCCAGGCATTCGAAAATGTGTATACCAAAATTATCCAGTTCTGATGTCACAACCAATGCATGCTGCAAGTTGACATGCATTCAACCAAGTCACCAAGCCTGACCACCCAAACCATTTAGTTGCCTTGTACAAACAGATTTATGGGGACCAATTCTAACCTGTTATCCCCACCGGGGTAGGGACTAAACGGGGTATTGGACAGTGGGATCTACATAATATCTGATCTGACACACAAGAAACACATTGTTATTAGCCTGATTCAAACTTGCTGGGAAGGACATCTTCCCCGACTCACAGACCTGTTTAGACATGTTGGCACCAGTGTACGTACATGGTTTGGGGAGAAAGTTCCACTGGGTTCTGTAAGCCTGACAAGCTTTTTCCATTTCTTTTCAAGGGCATTATGACAGTTTTTCATTATATTATACCAATAAAAATAACAAAATAATCTCTGGAAGATGAGAACACCCGATGGTTGAGGTACCGGTATATATATTTTCTTGTCAATGATATTTCCCCAGGAAACTTACTTGAATAAAACTTTTACTTTCCAATGATTTTTCTATGACTTTATTAAATTTTTCTATTTTCCCAAACTATTCCAGGCCCGGGAAACTAAAATTCAATGACTTCTCAGGGACATCATAACCAGTATGAAGCCTGCTTGAGTAATAGAAGCAGCTTGCAAGACAGACAAGTCATAAAACAATATATTTGTTTTCAGTTGAAAAAAGAAGATATCTTAAAATATGATATCAGGTTCTTATATTGAATGGGATCATGAGGAAGACTCATTGTTCTGAGTGAATATATCTTTTCTAATCATCAATTCTCAAAGTTGTGATCACATATAAAGGGAGGTAACTCAGTTTCAGGTCTCTTTAATCCCCATCCAACACCGACATCCATATATTAGTCATTCTTCAAAATATTAGCGTGCCCCAAAGAAATACTCACATCTAGTCCAAGCAAACCAGATATATCAAAGCAGTTTTAACAACAATCTTCAAGCTTATCTTGTAAAAACCAACACATAAACCATACATACCATCAATATATATTTACACATCTTACCACTTGGCAATATACATATTGTAACAAATATAGTAAAGTCAATGCTTATTCAGCAAAAAAACATTTTCACAATATAGAAGATCTGTTATTTAACAAAAGTTCAAATCTGTTCTTCGTATGTCAGAATAACAACTAAGTCTAATGCAACAAGGACAGAAAATTACAAACAGAATACATCATGCAGACAATGGGAGCTCCAAGTGAATACATCCTGCAGACAAAGGGAGCTCCAAGTGAATACATCTTGCAGAAAATGGGAGCTCTAAGTGTATACATCGTGCAGACAATGGGAGCTCCAAGTGAATACATCATGCAGACAATGGGAGCTCCAAGTGAATACATCCTGCAGACAAAGGGAGCTCCAAGTGAATACATCGTGCAAACAATGGGAGCTCCAAGTGAGTACATAGTGCAGACATAGCGAGCTCCAAGTGAATACATCATGCAGACAATGGGAGCTCCAAGTGAATACATCATGCAGACAATGGGAGCTCCAAGTGAATACATCCTTCAGACAATGGGAGCTCCAAGTGAATACATCATGCAGACAATGGGAGCTCCAAGTGAATACATTGTGCAGACAATGGGAGCTCCAAGTGAATACATCCTGCAGACAAAGGGAGCTCCAAGTGAATACATCTTGCAGACAATGGGAGCTCCAAGTGTGTACATCGTGCAGACAATGGGAGCTCCAAGTGTGTACATCGTGCAGACAATGGGAGCTCCAAGTGTGTACATCGTGCAGACAATGGGAGCTCCAAGTGAATACATCATGTAGACAATGGGAGCTCCAAGTGTGTACATCGTGCAAACAATGGGAGCTTCAAGTGTATACATCGTGCAGACAATGGGAGCTTCAAGTGTGTACATCGTGCAGACAATGGGAGCTCCAAGTGTGTACATCGTGCAGACAATGGGAGCTCCAAGTGTGTACATCGTGCAGACAATGGGAGCTCCAAGTGAATACATCGTGCAGACAATGGGAGCTCCAAGTGAATACATCGTGCAGACAATGGGAGCCATAAGTGTATACATCGTGCAGACAATGGGAGCTTCAAGTGTATACATCGTGTAGACAATGGGAGCTTCAAGTGTATACATCGTGCAGACAATGGGAGCTTCAAGTGTATACATCCTGCAGACAATTGGAGCTTCAAGTGTATACATCGTGCAGACAATGGGAGCTTCAAGTGTATACATCGTGTAGACAATAGGAGCTTCAAGTATATACATATCGCAGACAATGGGAGCTCCAAGTGAATACATCGTGCAGACAATGGGAGCTTCAAGTGTATACATCGTGCAGACAATGGGAGCTTCAAGTGTATACATCGTGCAGACAATTGGAGCTTCAAGTGTATACATCGTGCAGACAATGGGAGCTTCAAGTGTATACATCGTGTAGACAATAGGAGCTTCAAGTATATACATATCGCAGACAATGGGAGCTCCAAGTGAATACATCGTGCAGACAATGGGAGCTTCAAGTGTATACATCGTGTAGACAATTGGAGCTTCAAGTGTATACATCGTGTAGACAATGGGAGGTCCAAGTGAATACATCGTGCAGACAATAGGAGCTCCAAGTGTATACATCGTGCAGGTAATGGGAGCTCCAAGTGGAGTACATCATGCCAACAATGGGAGCTCCAAGTGGATACATCGTGCAGACAATGGTGGCATCAAGACAGGAATGACAGTTGCCATAAAAACTGTCTGCTGAAACATGGCATTGTCCCTTCAGATAGATACAACTGGAAACTATCCAGTTAAATTTTCAAACTTTCAGAAGATTGACATTCTTTGAAACAATGGCAGAAATCTGATGACCAACCTTTCTGGGGATGTTTTGTAAAATAACAAGGGATAGAAACCAACTTCAATGTGAATGCCTCGCCATCAGTTCCATACTGCACATTCACGGCTTGCCACAGGGGCATAGGTCACAAGCACCTCATTTAACATACTTATAGGTGGTGACGAGGAGATGAAAATATGAATATGCAGCTTTCAAAGTGCTGACACCCCCTGGACCTGAGTGAATCTTGGACATGAACCAACAACATTGTTTGCCTGCTGTTAAATGCTGCATTAACCCTGTTATGTCACGCCAGCTTGTAAAAAATCTGGCTTGTGGTATAAAACCTAACACGGGACACATAAAACCAGATGTACCCCTCGTTGCAACTGCTGCAACTTATATTGGTAGGATGCATGGTGCATGCATGGATGGCTAGAGAATCGATTTAATGCTTTACAGTATTCCCAGTGGATTGCGTACAATTGAGAACATTTCTGATAAATTGAATACATCAGTGGTAATTTCATATGATAAACCAGAATAACAATAGTGTACATGCTGCATGGCTTACACGAGTCGTATGAAAACAAACAGGTACTATTGAAACACAGACAGTTCAGAGTTGTGGACGGATTGTGTGCTGATACACATATTTACACTTGTTACCATGGTTACAAAACGATCAAACCATACTATCAAATACACATTATGCATGAACATCTTCAGAGTAATACCGACATGTTACAACTGAGGCAGAAGTTTCTAATTACCTGGTTTACATATCCGTTGACCCCAAATTAGATATAAATATTGAGAAGATATTCCTTCCATCTTAAATCTTCAGAACAAAATCAACCTGTTCAAAGTGGGTCAAATTTGTCAGAATAGAAACAAAATTAATCCTTTAAATTTTCATTAAAATATACTTTTTCATTACTCTTATGTTTTCATTTGGCCATCAATTTTCTTAAGGTCACTTAAAAATTTGGATTTAGGCTTAAAAAAAAATGGCTTTGGTTCTCAGGCACCGACTGCATCATCATAAAGTTCGCCGCATCCTTCATTTTTATTTCCATTTAAAAAAACAAACAAAAAATCATTAAATATTCCAAGTCCAATGGTTATTCCTACACTGTGTTCCAGAATTTTACTCATCAAGGAATACATTTATGTAGGGAGGCCCTTTCCCAGGTTGTTTATTTGGTTACATACTAGATGAACGGAAAAAAGCACTATATTTTCCAAAACCAGTGCCTGAGAACCAATTCTTTTATCTTTTTAAGCCTTTATGATTTTTTATATTTATGTTACCACCGGACCTTTGTTTTGGAGAATTACATGTAAACTAAGTGGTCAAAAATAGAGATTCTTAATCAACATGTGGAACATGAGGTTCCATAGTTTGGGTAAGATGACGTGTTAATGATATTTTTACCAAAAAGAAATGTACAGAAAAACCATGAAATCCTGTTTTGCAATAATGTCTACAGGGTCCAGAACGCCATGGGCTTTCACATATTCTTGAGTTTTCCATACAATAACAGGTGGCATGTATCATCATAATCATTTTTAACAAGGTATATCACCATGGTGATGCTATCTATCTGACGGGGCGGTCGGGTAGCCTCGTGGTTAAAGCGTTCGCTCGTCACGCCGAAGACCCGGGTTTGATTCCCGACATGGGTACAATGTGTGAAGCCCATTTCTGGTGTCCCCCGCCGTGATATTGCTGGAATATTGCTAAAAGCGGCGTAAAAACCATACTCGCTCGCTCGCTTTCTATCTGACCTCTTGAAGTCATAGACCAGTAACATTCTGATCACTGATTAACAAAAATAATCTATCACATTTGCATATTTGCTGTGTGCTTAGCATTTTCTTGATAGTATGTTACAATAACTCTCAATGTGTAAAAATAATTTCAATATATCTCAATGTTTCAGGAACAGAAACTTAACACGTTCATCTATGACAATATTACACCCAAGAAACATAACATCTCAGAATAAAAGGTTGCTAAATGATCATGTAAAACACAAAATCAACATAATAATTTTCACACTGTTTAAGAATAGTTATAAAATAATAGCATATGCCGTTCTTAAAATGCCATAAAATCAAACAATCATAACCAAAAAGTAATCCCTGCTAGAAATAATGCACTCCATTTTTGGAAAAATCACAAGGGCATTTTCCTCTGAATTATACTGTTACCATGGTTACTTCAAACATATAGAGAAAAGAAAGTAGCAAAATATGAATTCACTAAGTTTCTACCTTGTTAAAAACACTGTATATCAACCATAGTAGAATAATTCATTAAAAGGACAGAGCGGGGGGATTCATTCAGGGGAGATAACTCCTCACACCTTAAACCAACTGAGCTTCTCTCAAACATACAATTATTGTAATGACTTTTTAAGGGTAATATTGAATGCAAAAATGATTTTCCATGACAGGCTGAAGAGCCCCTAGATCCAACAATAATACTGGTGTAAGAATACACCCGGTCCATGCTTTCTCCACCATGTCTAAATATAAATATCAGGTTACCATACACATACGAGACAAACGTGGCATCAACAGTTACGTCTGACCTGGCAGAACGTTGTTGATAAAAGAACACGCAAGTTTAACTTGTTCAAGACGACACCATGTTCACTTTAAACCTCCGACTGACAACCTGGGAAATTAATGAGTTGGTGAGGTTTATAAATATTCCAATCTGAGCATAAAAAACGATCATTACTCCTATATTTCACCACTGACATACCGGTATGTCGGTGCAAACTAAACTTTGCTTTGTAGCCCCAACCCCAGAAGTATAAGTTTATACATGACCAGAGCCCTTATATTTGTCTGACAGTTAAAGTCATTTATTATTTTCAGAGGTCACTGACCTGGGTCCCTTACAATCTGGAACTAGAACTTGTGTTTCGCATCCGACACAAACTCTTGAAATTGAAAATCTGAATTTGAACATCAGTAACATGGTTAAGACTTCATCACTTCTATCTATATTCTTCTTTTATTTCAAACATTAACACTGTATTCTTCAGCAGAAGTCAACTTTGTCAATGAGGGTTACTTCCCCTTGCTAACACTGGTTACTACCCCTTGCTATCACAGGTTACTTCCCCTAAAGTGTAGTGGTTACTTCCCCTTGCTAACACTGGTTACTTCCCCTAGAGTGTACTGATTACTTCCCCTTGCTAACACTGGTTACTTTCCCTAGAGTGTACTGGTTACTTCCCTTTGCTAGCACTGGTTACTTCCCCTTGCTAGCACTGGTTACTTCCCCTTGCTAGCACTGGTTACTTCCCCTTGCTAGCACTGATTGTTCTGTTTCTTAAGCTTCTCCTCCGTGGCTCGTTATAACCATTCTGGATTGCGGCAACATCATCAGGTGTGGCTTTGCTAGTGCTAGCACTCACTGTCCGCTTTTCGTGCACAGTCTGCTTGTCACTGACTGTCCGCTTTGTGACAAAGGTTGTGGTGGTGACCTTCTTTGCAGGTGATGGCGGAGCACAGACGTATGGTGGCCCTCGCTTCTGATGGAGCCGCAGGCCAGTAGAAGCAGCGAATGCCTTCCCACACACTTGACACTCATACGGTTTTTCCCCGGTGTGGATGCGAACATGTGTCTTTATGTGATCCTGCTTGTCAAACTGCTTGTTACAGAAGCTGCAAGAAAATGCCTTCACATGTTCCAAAGACTCTTTACAGGTCTTCGAGTGTTTGTTGAGGTCAGGAAACTGCTTGAACATCTTGTGACACTTGCTGCACTTGTACACATCCCCACCCATATGTTCGGGGTAGTGGGACTTCATCACCTCGTGTGTCTCGAAGAACTTGCCACAGAGGTTGCACCTGACTTGAGCCCATTCGTTCTTAGAAGCGTTGTGTTCGTTCTCGTGCTCCTCCAGGGATTTGAGAGAAGAGCATGTGTAGCTGCATACTGGACAAGGAAATACCTTCGGTCCTGTAAACCATCAGAGAACATTATCCCATATTTTTCAATTATTTTCAAATATTATGGCAGAAATAACATGAACCATTTGACAATTTATCTGAAGCAAAAACTTGTTGACAAAGCACTTTGAAGAGTAACATTTTTCCATGTCTCCCTATTTATGCTGTAAATAAATTATCTCTCATCCAGTGTATCATTTCTCAATATTATTATGATAAGACCCATTCACCAGTACAGCTTCATTTTGGAAGTGACATAACTATCTCCATCTCACCAACTTACCACAAAATTATCTCATTCCTGAGAGGAATCTGATCATGCTGACTGACGTCTTTATTTGTGTTTTTTGAATAGAGTTCCAAATGAGCAATGGTAGCAGAATGAAGATATGACACCCCCAAGTTTTAACACTTACCCTTATGTTCCAGCAGATGCAGTATCATGGTGGAGAAGGACCTGAAGGTCTTCCCACAGAATGTGCAGCTGTGGCTTGTTTTTTGTTTGTTCTGTGCATCGGACTGAGACTTCATCCGACTAACCTGCTCATAATCACTTTCAGTATCAACTTCTGCACCACCTGCATCATCAACCGCATCACCTTCCACTTCATCTGATTCATTATCTGATTCATCATCTGTATCATCCAAATCTTCCATCTCTTTAGCGTCTACTCCTTCATTTTCTATTTCAATGTTTTGTTCCTCATCCTCAATATCAGAGCCAGGTGGACTACATGTAATCTCAAAACCTTCAAAGGTGACTGTGACATCGGGTTCCTCCCCCATGTTGTCTACCTCTGCTCCTGTACAGATCCCGCAGTGAATCTGATAAAGGCGATCATTGGAGAAAGCTCTGTTGCATTTGGGGCACTGATGGTCATGGGTTTTCATATGTTGACGCAGCAATTCCTCAGACTTCCACTCCAACTGGCAGACATCACAAGGGTAGGTAACCAAGGAAATATAAGATGACTCTATGTTGGAAGGCATGAAGATGCCATGCAGAGCAAGTTTGTGTCTGTTGAGATCTGATGCTAACTTGTACGATTTGTCACAAACATCACACCTGTGAAGTTTCTCATCCATGTGGGTCAGCATGTGCTTTTGAAGGTAGTCAGAACGAGCGAAACAGTTGCTACATTGCCTACATTTGTATGGTTTCTCGCCGGTGTGAATACGGAGATGCTTCTTGAGCCCTGACTGATCAGACAAAACCTTTGGGCAGAACGGGCAGCGAGCATACTTTTTCTTAGCAAAAACGGATTGATCTTTTACCAGCCTATCCAATTCTTGCTGTTTCTGCATTTCTTTCTTGACATGTCTGTCAATACTGGCTCTCCTGACTGAAACAGCTTCAGGTTGAATATCATCTTTCTGTTTAGATTCGTCAGTCATCTGTTTCTTCCCTGCAGGTGCATTGAGAACATGTTTGGCTACATCGGGCAGCACTGACGAGTCAAGCTTCATGAGCGTTTTCTTCAAAGCTATTTGCTGATAATTATCCTTCATCACAGGTGTCTTGGGAAAGACAAGAACCTGTTTGGAGTCCAGAGAGTAGGTATTAGTTGATGACCGTGACTTGATCGACATCATGGCAATATCTTCTCGGCTCTTCCCCTCCTTGGCAGCCTTTGTAATGATATCATAAGCCTGTTGGTAATGGTTCTTGTAACGACAACGGTTGTCCATTCCCTTGTAGCAGTTTTCCGGTGTTCTGTTTCTTTCATGGTATCTCAGCCCAGTTGATGTCGTGAATCTCTTGTCACAGATATCACATTTATAAGGTTTTTCACCAGTGTGTGTCCGGACATGTGATTTTAAGTTGTCCGACTTCCCAAAAAACTTGCCACAATACAAACACTCATATTTCTTCTTACTCTTGTGAACTCGACGATGTACTTGCAAGTCGGCTGCATACATGAAACCAAGCCCACATTCTATACACTCAAAAGGAGTCTCTTTGGGATGAAGGTTTTCATGTTTTCTCAATGTCTCCTTAGTGGCAAATTTGAAATTACAAATACTGCATGAGTAATACGTCCCATTATGCTTTTCCATGTGACTGTCATACTCAGAACTAGGTAGAGTTATACTGCAGTAATCACAAAATTTGAAGTCCTTCATTATATTCGACGTCATGCTTTCATCCCTGGAACTGTCGTCCACCCCCAGTTCCTCTTCCATTGTGAAGCTGTTCATCTCAGGATTCAATGCGTCATAGATCTCACTGTCTGCCATTGCTCGAACATCATCTGGAATTTGTCCAGAACAGACACTGTCTAATGAAATTGCAAAGTCATCATCAGTGTTGGAACCAGACTCTACAGATTTTGTCTTTTCAGTGTTTTCAGTCTTGACCTTAATTCCATAAAAGCTTGGTTTAGAACTCTTTCTGTTCCTCCTTCGACCCGACATGCTATCACTAACAGGTGTGTCCTGTACAGCAGCCTTGGATGGCTCATTCATCTCAATGTCAGAACTACTTGAGGGAACACTCTTCATACTGCCCCTACCTGATGGTAGCATGAAAGCTGACTGGCTGTTACTCTTCTTCATCCGTTCAGCAATCTCAGCACACAGGGCCGCAGTCTCTGACCCGTCATCGCGCTGCTCTGCATCAGTTAGAGTCTGCATCGCAAGAATATCATCTGGGTCACCTGGTTCCGTTTTTATCTTAATTGCTGTTACAATACACTTACTGCCAGGCTCTGGCGGTAACTTACTCTCTTCATGTCTTTTTACCATGGCAACAGTCTCCTGAATCATCTTTTCTTCACTTTCTACCTGAACTGGATCCTTCTCTGCCTCTTCTGGCTTGTGTACATGAGTCAGGTGGTACTTCAGTCCATTCATAGCTGTGAAAGTCTTCTGGCAGACGTTGCACTTGAAGGGCCTTCCACCTGTGTGAGTTCGTTTATGGCTGAAAAAATGATTGTATCGCCTAAACCGCTTTGAGCAGACATCACACTGATATGGCTTCTCTCCAGTGTGAGTCCTCATATGCAGATTTAACTGATAGCCTGTTTTGTTGGCTTTGCCGCATATCAAGCAGTCATAAGGCTTTTCACCAGCGTGAACTTCCATATGCACAATCATCCGTTGCTCGCTGGGGAACTCCTTTTTGCATAACTGACAGACATGGCCAGTAGTTGGTTCTTCAGGTGGTGTGTCAGTGCCACCAGTAGCACCATCATATAAGTAGGTGACATTAGAGCTTTCTATATTCTCACTATCATCAGTTGGTCCTTGGGGGCAGACTTCATCATCTCTGTCATCAGAAGCATCATCAATATATACATCCGAATTCTGCATCCTATTCCTTAGATTACCACTGTCTGCTGTGTTCACTTTGTTCAGTCTCACATAAGAGTGTTTGCTTTTCATGTGAAACTTGAGCCTACTGCTGGTGATGAAGCTCTTTGGGCAGTAATGACATGAATAGGCACGTTCCCCTGTATGGGTCTTCATGTGGATCTTCAAGTTGTACTTTCTCCAGAAGGTTCTAGCACAAAATCTACATGTGTATTTGATAGGTCCGAGATTGTTTGAATGTTCCTCTAAGTGAATCTCGAATTCAGGCACTGAACAGAAAGTCTTGTCACAAGATGGGCAAGTCAATGTTGATGAGTCAGAAGGTGATTCATCATCAGAATCTTCATCCATTATGTCAGTTACATAAGGACTTGTGACATTTTCAATGGTCACAGGGGCTTGTCCCTCTGCTGACTGAGAAATAGATGTGTTCCATCCCTCCACACTTAATGACTGTTTTTCTGGAGATGCTTCAGATCCTAATGACCGAGCCTTCTTCTTCTTGATAGCTCGATGTTTCTTCATATGGCGTTCTAATACAGCTTCCTCTTCAAACATAGTGCCACAGACTTCACATTCCAAAGTAACATCACTGCTGCTTTGTTTTTCAACTTCAGTGATATCATCAGCTGTTAATATCATTGTAACTTCTGAATTCTTTTCATTTGTATTATCCTCACATGTTTCAGTTTTTTCTGTTGGAGTTTCAGGAAGATCTGCCTCATTAACTGTCTCAACACTGTCCTCAAAAATGGATGGGTCAATGTCAGAAGAGCCATCAGCTAAGGAGGTCACGCTGACAATCTTCAGAAAACCAGGTTCAAAGGATTCAATTAGCGTCTCCTTCTCTTTGGAAGCATGTGAGGCTGAACCCTTGTGATGAGCTTTGTTATGATATCGGAATCCAGTAGATGTTGTGAAACGTTTACCACACTCTAAACATTTAAATGGCTTCTCACCAGTATGTGTGCGCACATGAGCATGTAAATTGTGTGCCTTTCCAAAACACTTCCCACAATATTTGCAAAAATGAGGTTTCTCTGCTGAATGTGATAGCATGTGAGTCTTCAACTCCTCTGAAGTGCAACATTCATGTCCACACTCCTTACAAGCATATGGCCTCCATGATGCAAACTTCTTCAAACTGTCCTCATCAGTAGAAGACTGGAACATCTTCAGGGTGTGATCAATCTCTTCAGCACTATGAACTCTCATGTGACTCTTAAGAATGGATGGGTACTGAAATTTCTTTCCACAAATCATGCACTCAGTTCCCTCATTGTAAGATAGAGCTATCTGTTGCTTCTCCACCGTTGTCATGGAAGAAACATCTGTACTTGCATTGCTCTTCTCTGGACTTTTACCCCGAGATTTGGCTGTGGAGTCATCTTCATCTTGTGGGGATTTACTTTCCGATTTGATCAACAGATTCACATATCCTGCTGGTGGGTGTACATAAATCAATGTCTCGCCATCCCAATCCTTTGTTTTGTTACCTTCTTCTGGACTCTTTCCTCCAACTCTGATGCTACAGTTCTCACCACTGCGTGTTCTTTCATGATATCGAAGTCCCGTTGAAGTTGTAAATCGCTTACCACAAATTCCACACTTGTAAGGCTTCTCTCCAGTGTGTGTCCTGTAGTGACTCCGGTAGTGGTACACATTTCCGAAACCTTTACCACACACATCACACATAAAAGGCATCTCCCCCAGATGTGTCTTCAGGTGCTGCTGGAGGTCTCTTTCAGAGGAGGTCTCATGGTGACAGTGTCGACATACAAATGACCGCTTGAACTGGTGATTGACCCGATGCTTCTGGAGGAATTCCTCAGAGACAAACTGTCGGTCACACTGGTCACAGGACAAAAGCGGTTCATCTGAGATTTCAAAATTTTCATCATGAACCGGTACAAATTTCTCCTTTTTTCTTTCTGGCTCACTCTCGCTGGTGTCTGGAGTGGGATCATCATAGTCAGGGTTGATGGAGATCTCTATGTCCATGTTGCCCTCTTTGTCATCAGCAGCATCCGAAAGAACCTCCACTGCATCAGATGCCATAGTATGTGTTTCAGTTCTTTGTACCTGGAGACTTATCTGGAAGGACTAGCTCAGACCAGCTGGTATATACAGGGCCATTCCAGGTCATCCGTCAGTCTGAAAAAACAAAAACATTTGGAAGAGTTTAAGTCAAGACAGAGAATGATTGATGTTAATGCATAATAATTCCTACAACACAGTGACAGGTGGGGGCATGAATGGCCGAGTCTGCTCAGGCATCCCTTGGGCATGCCAGAAACCTACGATCGTGGGTTTGAATTCCGGCTTTGCCCTGATTATGTTTCTAGGTTTGTCAGCAAAATACCTGGGCTCGTGGGTTTCACCAAAGTGGTAAATGTATGGGACCTGCTTTAAAGCTTACTGATAAAAGCGGCAGTAAACCCAACGCAACCACTCACTCAGTGACAGGTCCTCATGACCCCTTGCCAGTCATAAAGTGAGTGAGTGAGTGAGTGAGTATGGTTTTACACCGCTTTTAGTAATATTCCAGCAATATCACAGCGGGGGACACCTGAAATGTGCTTCACACATTGTACCCATGCCAGGAATCGAACCCGGGTCTTCGGCGTGAGGATCGAACGCTTTAACCACTAGGCTACCCGACCGCCTCCCATCATGACAGGGGGTTGTTAGTGTATTGTAGGGAGTCATGACTTTCCAAAGAATCAAATGATACCTTGAACACAAACAGAATTATTGTGTGCTATTCCAAGTCCTGTTTCATGTGTTTTTATGATATTAATGACTACTACAGTACTTATTTCAAAAGATAATATAACATATGTACAAACAGATAGAAAACTGCCATTTTGATGGAAGAGCATGTACTGTGCCATCTCGCTTGTCTTCAATCATTAATGCAGTCACTCAAATAATTAATGCAGACACTCAAACTAAGTGACATTTGTCACTTCAAAAACACATTAAGGCTTAATAAAATAAAAGAAATGGCTCTCAGGCAATGGCTGTTGAAAGTATAGTTTGGGTAGACAGCCTTTTTGTTGTTTTTGTTCAAACTAGTATGTAACTAAAGAAACAGTTGTGTACAATCAACCTGGAAAAGGTCCTTCCTACATCAATGTATTCCTTGATGAGTAAAATACTGGAATACAGTATTTGACTTCCGTTGGACAAACAGTGTGTGCATAGTACACACATACAATGAGATTTTATTTTATTTCACAACGCGATGACATTATCGTGTGCACACAAGACCGGAAGAAGCATGTCAACAAATCCGTACTGAAGTAGGCAAGTTAGTCCTGTTATTACACTATCTGGCTATAAAAAATTTCATTGTATATCTGGACGTTCGTTTGTAATCCATTATATTTCTTTTCTCCAAGATTTCATTAAACTTTGTTTACATTAATTTCGGCAAAATTGTGTATAATCTGATCGGCAAATCACATCAACTCGCCATGAACTTGCCTTGAAATTAGCCGTTAGAGATACAAAGTCGTCACTCTTCCTATCAATTCTTATGAAATTTCTTTTCAGTTATGATATATTGGCCATGACATTAAGTATTTTTTAAACTAAATCACACATAGATCAAGGAGAAAACGTGTAAACAGCAGATAGCTATTTCCAGCTTAATTTATGAGACAAATACTCATGTATTCTTAATCTCTGTGTTTGAAACATTGCTTACAGTACATGAATACCATTGAATTTGTAAATCATCATGTCTAGTGCTGTTTTATCGTAAATTTCACATTTTCAGTGACCAAATTTGCAAACGGCAAAACAAACACACAAACTCCTATTGCTGCAATGACCATAACACAAAACACAAGATGCACAGTAAAGCAGTGCCCATGTAAAGGGAAGTTACAGCAATAATATACACATATTGAGTTATTTACCTTGTTTAATTTTCATCAAATTACAAGCAGCCATGAGTAGATTGATACGAATTGGCCATTAAGACTTTTTCAAAATGGCTTCTACTTTGGTCATGATTATAACTGTATTAACTTCATTAATACTGGAAACCTGTGACCACTTTTGATTATACTTTAATTTGGCCCATACACAATATGTCAGAATCACCACAGTCAATGAGAGTGTTTCAAGAAAATATATTGAAAATATCATCAGGTGCAAGGGGAAGGTATACATGTAGGCTAAAATTGTTAATGTCACAGTTAAAAAAACATAAGTTACATGCTTACTTTTTCTTGCATATAGTAAATGTCACAATAACACATGAAATTAGTTTGTTTGATTGTTGTTTAACGCCGCAATATTCCAGCTATATGATGGCGGTCTGTAAATAATCGAGTCGGGACCAGACAATCTCGTGATTGACATCATGAGCATTAATCCACGCAATGACATGCATCAACCAAGTCAGTGAGCCTGGCCACCCGATCCCGTAAGTCGCCACTTACGCACAAGCATAGATGTCTTTTACGTCATGCCTGGGTTGTTGAAGACCTATTCTACCCCGGATCTTCATTGGTCCATGAAATTAGTGTTGAATAAACAAGATCAATGACATTGCCAATTTTGCTTAGGCAGCAGCAGTCACCCTTATTAGAAGTGGATCAGAATTATCATCCTCTAGATCTCCAGGGCTAGCATTTCGGTAAATCTGCACCTATGCCCATGGTGCTCATAATCTCAAATTAACCACCCTTGTTTATCGTTAACCTTTCACCAACCAATCAAACGTTGGATAGGGAAATATGTAAAGGAGGTGGACATGAACATGATGAAGACATCCTTTTGCATCAAAAAGATTTTTTAGGGCTTTCTTTTGCGTGTCAGTCAGTTTCCCAATGTTTAATTTCTCGCCAATTCTATTGTATTCAGTTGGAATGGCTGCCATAGTGTTGATTTTGACGGAATCAGTCGTACAGGCCGTAACTGTCATTCGGAATAACCTGTGTTAGCGTTTTCGAGGTTGCATGATTAGAAAACACATTACGACTGTCATTTTCATGATCTGGTAAGCGATGCTTTGATTGGTCGGAGGAAAGGTCGTTCTGACATGACCCGTAAAAGGATGTCCTCAGATCTTTGTTTAGCGATAGCGAGAACTAAGATCTGAGTTTAATGAGATTGTAATTACAGGATACATGTACATCAGGGTTAGAAATTGGCACTAGTCCTATAGTCCTTGCCAAACTGCCCAATGGTAAAGAAATCATAAGGACTAGTAGAAAATTGCCATTTTTAAGGGTTTTGCTATATGTTATCATTATAAGGACTAGTGGACGAAAACTGTTAGTTTCTAACGCTGTTATAAAAAAAATATAACATGAATTGTCAAAACCAGGTGAGCTAAAATTTCTTATCAGTTTTATTATCATCTATGAAAGTAAATTTAAAGAAGTGTTCAACTTCACACTGACTGGCTTTATCAGGTAACTGTACCATGCTAACTTCAGACAAGAATGCTGACTGCATGGTCTAAGGGAGGTAATTTGTTTTCTTGCCATGCATGGTTGAAATTATCTCCCCCTGAATATCTGCCCTGGTACTTTGCAGTACTGAATTGTGATTATCTATTTTCAGTAGAAAGCAAGCAGCTTCCAAGACCAGTCCTTTCTGCAGACTGGTAACATTTTCAAAACATTTAGTTTTACTTGAAGACTTTCATACATTAAATAGTTCACCTTTACAGCATTTTATAGAGTTTTTGAGTTTTTACCACAACGTACATTGTCATGGTTTATTTGTTCCAATAATCAGTTCTTCACTTGCCATCATCATTTCACAAATTCACCAAGAATAACATCCTTATAGCAGCACACCCAATTTGGTATAACAATCCCGGCAAGTCTCGTGACCTGATGTATTGAGGCGTATCATCGATAGGGCTGTGTAATGGCTAAAAATTGCATTGCAATAGCACGGTTTGGAATCGCTCAAAGCAGGTTTGAATAACATCCTCAAGTTTGAATGGATCATATAAAAAATGGCAGCAATTTGCATGACCATGATGACATACATGCAGGTTAAAAGAACACAATTAGGGCCATTGGTATGTAATGTTTACAATTCTTACAGATGACTTAAAATATATACTTTACAGTATACTGTAAGATATCTATGAATTCTGTGTAATGTAAAGGTCAAGTCACCAGTAAAACTGGTAAAAATATACATTGGAATTCGACATCATCATCTTTACAACAGAAAATGAGAATCATATTGCTCATAATAACATATATTTTCAAAATAAAAACATTCCTCATTCAAAACTGAAAGACATGTTGAAGTAAGAATATATCAATTTGTTCTCAGGAAGTAGCTGTGGGGACAGAAAGAGGTTTACCTTTCAAAACGTATTGAACAAATTTCATTTACATTTTAAGTGATTGAACAATTATAAATTTTCATTGAATAAGCATGCATAAGGGTTGCATTAAGTTTTCATGAATAACTTACAATCTATGATTTCTTCTTACTTTAGAGTAATATGAATCAATATAAGTCAGATTTCAGAGCAACAGATAAGCTGCATATTTGCGTAAAATCCCCCCCCCCCCCCCAAAAGAAGAATATTCAAAACCCAATAACTTTCAATTAACTTGCGTACAGAAAAACTCATATGTATAAAAACAGCATTCGTAAATACCCAATGAAGATTTTTCAGCATGTGTACAATGGAGCTAATTTCCGAAACACAATTACGAGCTAATTTACTTTCCGAGTCAAGCCTGTAGTTAGAACCCTTATATACATCTAAAACATTATTTCATTTTTTTTTTAATTCTCAAATGTTAACTCATTTTGGGAAAAACCAAATAGAGCGATGAATAGATGAGTGAAAAAATATTGGTTACCCAATGAAAAATGTCATAACCCAATTAAAATAGAAATCTTCGAGTAAAAACTCAATTGATCAAATAGTTATCTGGAGCTCTGGATTTCAATTTCTTCTACTGTCATCTTAGCATGGATATCTTTCAAGAGGTAATAAACCACTGTATAGAGGCCCACAGTAGAGAACCACTCAAGATTAGGAGGTTTTCTTTTGATCATGATACTGGAATGCAGCTGTACGGAGTTTAGAATTATATCTACATCCCATATACAATACTCAGCTCTAGCCTTGACAAATTATTTGTACAATTGGAGAA